CAAACCCCATCCAAAAGTTGCAAACTCTGGTGGCCCGGTCCCGGTGGCCCGGTCCCGGGGTCCCGGTGGCCGGTCCCGCTGGCCCGGTCCGGTGGCCCGGTCCCGGTGGCCCGGTCCCGGTCCCGCTTTAAGGGTGCGTGCCCGCGGGCCCGCGCGAAAAAAGACCTATTCTGTAGTTACAAGCTGAGCTTTGCAAAAGCCAAGAGACGTTGACAGTAGGAGCACAGCCCCAAACTTGCACTTGCCAACGGGCGCTCCTGTTTCTGACCATGGGTGCAAAGGGTGCGAAGCTGCGAGCACAGAAAACGCCTCTAAGGCTCAATGTAAAATCAAAGAAAGCTTTTCACACCTCAAATCAGAAGCTCCTGCTGGACAACCGATTGTCCCTGCCCGACGCAGAGCTCGGAACGCTTCGTGTTGAAGCCTTAGGTGACGCGAAGCTATGCATGCGGCTCCATTAACTGCCGTGTTGATACACAAGCAGCAATGTTGCTTGTAGGGCGCGAAGAGGTCTAGCAAATTACTCCCGTGGCAAGTTGCACATTCACTCGAACTTAGATTATGCATGCCAGCCCACCTGGAAATATCTGCGTCGACACGGTCGTTGTCGCCTGTAAGCGCCTCCGCCAGCGTCTCAGACTGTCGGTGTGCCGCCACTTGCTGCGATTTGCAGATTTCCTTGGCTGTACGCCCTGAAGGTTAACAGGGTAAACCCTGATCCGCTACCAAGCGGTTTTCAAGTTAGACCAAGCAACTGGATGCTCTGAGACACCGTTGGTCTCCAAGGTTCACCGTTGAGCACACTTTCGGTGCCACATCTAACCCAAACAAGCAGCCTCAGAGTAGCAGCCACCAGTTTGACTTGTGGAAATTGCAAAACGTCAACATGACTACAGGTGCCGAAGTCTTTCAAGCTTGTTTGCTTAGGCTTGTGCAGGGGCCAAAGCCATGCCGGCATCGCTTGAGGCTACAGCCTACATGGGTTTCTGATTCAAAAAAACATTCAGAACGAGAAGGTTCTTTGTCACCTACCATTAGATTCCTCCCGCGTAGCATCTCGGCAGTATCACTTGAACACGGACGGACCCCTTGGCCGCAGAGACACTCGGATCAACCAGAAGCTTGTGGCAAGGTGGGGCAGTTCCCGGCTCCTCAGTGGTTGAGTTATAGGCTCTTCTGAGTCCTCCCTTTCGCACACTTGCCTAATTCGTTAACTGAAGCTTTGGGCCAAGAGAAAGCCAGTTTGGGGCGTGACATGGCAAGCAGAAGCGCCATTACGCTGCGAACACGTGGCCTAAAAGATTGCATACACCAGACCTTTGAAAGCCGTGCTCCAGGAGAGCCTGTTCTTCGATGGCAGGCCCTGTTAAACAGAATGGCGCATCTGTACAGCTAGCTTTACGAGTAGCTCAAGGCGGCAAAGCTGAAGGCGTGGAGGAGTTTGCCCTAAGGTGTTCTCTGGCCTTATCTTCCTGCTCTCACCTCTGCCCATGAAAAGGAGGCTCGAGGCCACCATCATCTGAGACCAGCGAGCTCCCCTCGCTTGACTTCTCTTCCAGCTTTGACCCCACATGCTGGATCGAGAAGCAGGCTCGAACATATTGACAGCTCCTTGAAACACCCGTTCTTAGCTGTACGGTAGCAACAGGGGCTGGACCTCAGAGCTTTCAGCCTTTGGCCTCTTGTAGAGGAGCGGTCCTTCGGCGACTCTTAGCGCCGTGGGGGCATGCTAGCAAACTTAATCGTCTAGGCCCCGATTCGGCAATGACAGGCTCAGTCCAGGTCGACAATGTCCTGTTCCTGCACGCAGAATCAGAGAAACGAAGAAAAAGCAGGAGAATCCGCCTTGGTGGGCAGGCCAGCTTCATCTGCAGATCGCTTGCCCTGACGCAGCACACCATGCGCAACAAGCCGATCCGCACAGCTTGCGACATTGGCCTTGCCCTTGCCTTTTGCCTGTCACAGCCCGAAGTGCAGCAAAGGCAGCCAGGACAACGCACGAGAGAACAAAGAGCATGCAACGAATAGATGCATGCCCTGCCTGCTTCAGCCGCTGCTGGCGATCCTTCTGGCGCTCGCTGCGCATTTTCTCGATCTGAGCAGGGAAACCGACGCGACCCAACAAAACGCAGCGGAGGTGCAAAGGGCGATCACGGGCCACGGAGCTGAGGGCCGACGTGTGCTTTCTGTATGGATTGAAAGCCATTGAAGGGCTGTTTTGGACGCCGGTAAGACCAGCTGAATTGTTGTTTCTAAGGCACCTACCTGGGCCAGTTCGGCCATGACAGCCTTCTTCTCCTGCTTCTCCTGAGCCTGCAGACTCTGCTTCTGCGGAACAAATGAAAGTCCAATTTGACTGCAGGCCTTTTTCTCCTTCAGCTCCTCCTTCTGCTCGGAAGTCTGGCTCGTTTTCATCTCCCTGCACAAATGCAAAGTCGCTTCAGACAACTTCAAGAGGTGTCCCTTGCTGATTACGACGGAGCCCTTTTGTTTCCAGACAGCCCAGAGTCGGTTGGCCTGTTGCCAGTTCTGGCTCGGGGCACACTGCGCTAAGCCTTGCTTGAGATGATTCTTCCCTTCCAGCGCACCTGGTGTTCAAAGCCTGGTCTTCTCAAAAGGGCCAAGTTGTAGGCAGCTACGCCAAGGTCTCACCGCGCCCAAACAGCGCGCAAAATGAGCGGCAGACTCGGCCGCCTTTACGGGCCTGCTCTTGGCCCAAGCTGCCATCAAGATCTCCTAGTAGCTCGTCTCGCTCCCGATGCAAATCCAGCTGCCCTTGCAGCTTCTGCACAATCACCTGCGCGTTGCGCAGCTCTGCCGCCAGACGAGACGACCGCGCGCGCTCCTCCTGCATGGAGTTTTCTGGCTCAGGTTGGGAAATCGCAACAGAGCAACTCCACTCGCCTGAAGCTCTGCGCGCAGGGAGCGCACGTCCGCCTGCTGAGATGGCACTGCACGAGTTATGTGGAGGTGAGAGCTGAGATATACGAGTGTTGCTTATAAATCTCGTTGAATCAAACTCTCGCAGCAACTGTGGGGGTTCCAGCTGCCCGGGGCTTCGTGCAAATCCTGAACTATGGCATGCGCGGGCAGGAAGCCGGGCAAGAAAACGATCCTTGTCGCAGACCCGCTTCGGATCACGTTGGAGCTAAGTTTTTGCAGGCCTGCACGAAGTTCAAAGCTGTTGGCGGGATTAGTGATTAGTGGCTCCGCCACAGCCAGCAGATGTGCAAGGGACTTTGGCAGGATTAAAGCCAGCATTCCCAGTCACAATCAACATCACGGAAACTACCAGCTATGAAGCTTAATGAAGGTACCTCATCGAGAGAATGTGCTGTAATGTTCGTAGATGTCACCAATCTGTGGCATTCTGCCCTCACGCGAACCTTGCACAAATTGGAGCCCCAAGCTCGGAATATTTTCATCCGGGGCGCTGTTGGGCATGCGGAGTTCTGAAGCAGCAACATCCATTGAAATTCAGATGTGCCAATGTTTTAGGTTGGATGACCGTGTCCATGCAAAATAATGCATTTGTGCATGCTCTGGCTTACCCAAGTCAACTCCATTTTTCTTCGAGCACACAAGTCGACCGTCGAGCAATCCTCTGTTTTTATGTTGCATGGTTTTTGGCCGCTTTTGAAATTACCAGCGACCCTCGCGCTTTGCCGGCAGTTTTGGCGTCTTTGGTTGAAGTTGCGGTCAGCTTAGCTTTCGGTCGGCTTTCCATACGCCTGCTAGGTCTTGCAGAAATTTCGGGACGGAAGGACCCGAATTTCACTTTGCAGGACGCTTGGCTGAATATCTCTCAAGACCTTTGGCACATCAGCCGACAAAAACACTGGCCATCAAGATACCAGAGCTCTGGCAGGCCTCCCAAAGCAAACAAAAGCTAAGCCTCTAAGAGCCGGCGGCCCCATGTGGAGCCGGAGCGCGCTGAGCCTGACACGTCTGGACCTTACCACTTGCTTTGCTCAAACAGCCGTGGTCAGGATGCGCCTTCCTTCTCACGTCCCATGGCTAGGTGAGCTGCTCCTGGCTGAGCTCAGTACGTTTTTCTGGCCTTTCTTTCGTTTCAAAAGCCCAGCCTCGTGATCCACTTGAGGTTCGCGGAGATGAGCAGGAGCTGACAGAAGCAATCGGCGAGTGGAGCGGTCGGGGCATCGCCTCCGGCTCCCTAGCAAGGTTCAGTGAGAGCACGGAAGCCCCGTGCTCCCTGTGCTCCCTGTGCTCCCTGTGCTCCCTGTGCTCCCTGTGCTCCCTGTGCTCCCTGTGCTCCCTGTGCTCCCTGTGCTCGGTGTGCTCGGTGCAAGGCTCTGCCGGCGTGGGTTGCGCTGAGGCCTTTAGAGCTGTCCAACCTGCAGATCCCTCGCTGTTGGAAGTTCTGGACAAGCGCCGCTCCAGCTCCTCTCGAAAGCTGAGCGGCTCCACTGCCTGAAAAAGGCAGCACGAGATAAGATCTGAGACCTCAAGAACATGCAAAACGTTCAAGAATAGCTCGGCGGCAGCATGAAAGTGTAGCATGAAAGTGTTGGCAAGGTCGCTAGTCCCGCGCATGTCTATGTCCGTGCATGAGCTTCAGTTAACTTTGTGGTACATAGGTGTTTCCCTGGTGCCCTGCTGAGCACTTTCCGGGCCTGAGACGAAGCCCCACTCTGAGAGGCCATCGATGCTGATGCGCTTGCACAATGCTCCCTTCACAACTGTTTTCCGTTTGGGGTTTAGGGTTTGTTCCAAAACTTGATTCGGTCAGCTAGTGTCAGAATTGCTACTCAGCTTGAGGCTTGAGACAGAAACGCTGCGGGAAACGGGTCTATAAACTGTTACAAGCTGCCGCAGTTGCTGCCCAAACTATTCAGCCTCACAACTGTGGCGAATTGAATCTACAAGCGGAGCCAAGAAGTTAGTTAAACTGCATGCAGGCATCTTTCGTGGGTTAGAACTACACCTCCGCCACGACACGCAAATTCAATCTCCTTGTTGCCCCTTGAATTGACCTGACTGTTACACACTTGGGCCCGGGTGGAAGGGACGAAAGCTTTCAAGCAGAGTGCATACCAGCACGTGCATTTTTTTAAAAAGCGGCGGAGCGCCAACGGCCTCCGCGTGCCCAAGAACGGCTTCCAACGTGCACAAAAACCTGCCATCCGGCATCCCAAACAACCTCCACGGCACCCGAAACGGCACCCCGAAACTGCATCGAGACAGACCCCTCGTCACTCCTGTTTTCGAGGCCCACGAGGACACCTCCCGAAAACCCTCCTGCCGCGGGGTCTGGCCCGCGAAACATGGCCAAATTTGACCACTCCTGGGCTTTCCAGACCCCCACACCCCCTTAGTACAGATCAGCAAAGCTGGACTCAGACGAAATCTTGGGAAGCTTTCGTAACAACGACATCTCCAGAAAAACTGCAAAGGCAACAGCATCATGGTCGTTGTGGAATGAAAAAAATCAGGGTGCCACCAGAAGTCCAGCAAGTGCAGCGCACGAAACACGTCTCATGGCAGATATCTTTGCAACATTGACCCCCACATGACATGACAAGCGTCATGCAAGCATCTTCTGACAGCAAAAGCCATCTCGCAAGCATCAGTTGAGCAACGAGATCACCAGCAGATTTCATGCTCAGGCAATTGCCTGCTCCCCCCACCCCCCCACCCCACCGCACATGCTTGCGGCGAAAAACAACACGCCCAGCGTTGCCTGCCTCCATCCCCCCCCGTCCGCGCATGCTTCTGCCCAAAAACATCAGCAAGTACGTCTGAGGCCAGATGT